GATTTCCATTGTCTTTTGCCGCTAATGCATGTATCTGAAAATAATTCATCTAATTTTTATAAATCATTTTAATATAACTTTAATTTAAATTTAAAACGTAAAACGATATTGACGAATATTTTACTATCATCAGTTAGTATATATCTGGAATTTTATAGGAATACATTTGTGCGCTCAGCATCAATAACTTCTATGGGTAAGATTAGTTCCTCTTCAGCGACTTTTACGCCAACTACAAACAACATTGTTTCATCAATTACGGGTAATTTTTTCCACTAATTTTTATTTTCTATCTCGAAAAGAAAATATGTTCTGTTTTCATGAGCAGACTATCATACTGGTTGGAAAAATTCACTAATTACTCAAAAAATCTGAGATAAACTGAATCCTTATGCATATGAGTTAACGACTTCTCAAGCTTCTGCGAAGGTAACTATTAATTTGATATGTTTGATTATGTTAGGTTGATCTTATTTTTTACTAGAGAAATCTATGTGGGACTTTTTGATTTTCAAAATGTAAGGAAAAGAATGCTTTCATATGAAAACTGTTTAAAGATTCAAGTGAGTAGGTTATTTAAAAATGAGCAATCCTAAGGAAAAGTCTTATCAAAACAGTATCTTCACTCTTAACTTCATTCTCTCATTATCAGTTATTCTAATTCAGATCAAGAAAACTGGATTACACAATTTATTATAAATACTCTGCAATATGGGCTCTTCACATCTACTGAATTGATAATGATTATAGAAACTATTTAATTTTGAGACATTTTAGAACTCTATTTTATTATAAAAATTTAAGAACGTTCCTTTTTTAATCGTAGACTTAATTTAATGAACAATATGGAAGCTCTTCATTACCAAATGCCGTTGATGCATAATCCTAGTTAGATTGGTAAAGCTATTCTGAACCTTTTAAAATTAAAGCAGATTTCTTTTTTAATGCCTAAATAAAGATAATTCTTCAGGTACTGACTGTATCTTATTTTGAATATCATTGCAAATTCCTAAAATTTAGGTAATCGTGTGTTTTGCAAAGATCGCTTCTCATCAAAATACTGAAGAAAGAAAATTATTTTATTTTGTCTTATCATATTGTTACTCTTTTTTAGTGTAAAAGCTTATTGATATTGCTGTTAATCCCCATTCTCTCTATTATCGTTCTTTTACAGGTGGTAAGCCAACAGTACAGGTGCATCCAATGCCATCAACCCTTCCAGCCAATAATATGATTGCTACTGCACTAACATCATCAACAAGCGCTAATACTAACACTGATATTACATCGGAAAAAATACGCGAAAAACCGGTGGTACCAAAGAAACCAGCGAAGTTAATCCTGTTCAATGCATCTCCATCTGTCGAAGCTGCTTCATTAACTCCACTTCGTGCGAGCACATCAAGTTTGAACCTTTTTTCACCGTCAGCACAGTCATCACCATCAACTAGCAATAGGTTTGCTCATTTCAGGGATTTATTTAGTCAGCGGAATTTTTTGGTATCTACTCGCAGAACCAGACTACTTCTTCCTTCTTGTTTGGTCTGAAATAAGAAGAGATTACTTTACAGTGCAACTTCTACAAACATCAAACATTTATAATTAGTTTTAGCTTTTTTTGGGTTTTCCAGAGTTTTTCAAAATGTAGAATTTTTATTCGAAATTTAGCATTTCGAGGTAGTCGTATTGCCGTTTCTTATACCATAAAAATGCTAGCGGATCAGGACTGCTATAAATTTTAGAATTATTATGCTATTATTAATTTAAATTGTTATTCTACTCTGTTTTAGTTTCCGTTTATTTTCAACCCCATCATTTATTTCTCTTCATACTGCCCTGATGCAATCCAGTTTGACAGATGAAGAAATTGAACAACTCGAAGCGAAACGTAAGAAGGTAAGAAAATAAATCGTGACTCTGCAGAAATAGATGCTAAAATTTCAAAATTGTTATGCTTTTCTAAACTTTCATGTGATTTTGTAGCTTTTTGCAAATGTAGTGATTACGTGTCTTCTCTGCCCCTTATATTTGTACCATTACTGCTCTTCTTAGTTTTTAAACTAATTTTTTTATAGCTGATCGAATCAATTTCTCGCAAAATTGTAATATTGGATGAGGAACGAAATGCGATTGATGAGGATTTTAATCTAAATGAAGCCCTGAAAAACGAAGTATTCAATGACTTAACGCAAACTGGTGATTTAGCTATTTTGGAAAAAATTGAAAACAACCTCGCGCAAAATTCACAGTTGTGCAGGTGAGCTGTACTTCCATGTTCGGATTACAATAATGACAAAAAAGCCACTATTGATCGCTGTTTAAAGATGAACAGTTCATTTCAAGTCGTAAAGGCTGATGTTTTTTTCAATACATTTTGACATTTTTTAAGTGTCTGACTTTGTCTAACCTTCAAGTGTCTGAAAATAAAAGAGACAGAAGTTCATTATATGATGCTAAATAAATTACATTTAATTATACAGTGACCTGTAGATTCCAATATTATCTGACCAGAACGGCTGCAATCCCAATAGTGGGAATTTGCTACTCTCTTCATCGAAGATTTCCTTTTTCATTTGGAGTTTATGTATTAGAAAGAGAATGTCCTTTGGTTTAAAAATACTGTCATTGTTGAATTTTAAAGAGAACAATAGAAAGGAGAATCATTCTAAAGAATAGCTCGATCTGATTAAAGTACTTCTCAATTTGCGAATTGATTTAAAGTGAATTATTTTCATTTATTTCTTTTCACTTTTTAAAGCGATTAATTGCAGTTACTTTAAGGCTTTTTCTCAAATGTTAAACCATCAATCAAGCAGCTTCAATTTTTTGGAATTTGCGGAAATTTGCTTTTCTAGACTTGAAACAAGATTACGGATGCAGTTGGATCGCTTACATTCAATTTCAATGAGTAATGAAAATGTCGACAAAGAGCTTGTTAATGCTCGCACTGAGCGTTTGAAACGACAACTAAATGACCAGACAATACTGAGAAAAGCTTTCGATAGGCGTGATGCTGAAGTTGACAAATATATCCTTTCAAGGTTGAACGATGAACGAAGAGTACAGTGGAGGTAGATTTTCCCTAATTTTGTTGAAATTGATGTCCTCATCTATCAACTTCAGTTATAACTACTATGTTTTTGATGATAGAAATTGCATACGACTTAAGGGAGGAATGGATTGAATGGAATAATATGAATCCACTTGTTTAAATAAGATTAATTGATGTGTTCTCTTTTGTAGGATTTACAAGGAAACATGGAAACGTTTAACAACCGAACGACAAGAAATTGACGAGCGACTCTTTCTTGGGCGTGAACAAATCAGTGCCTTACGAAGTGTGCAGCCATATACCTAGTTGCGTTCTACTAATAAATAAGCATATATTTTGTTAGTGCAATTACTGCTTTGTATATCGGATTTCAACTTTATACTAATGCGACTAATGTGCTACATACTTTGTGAATATTTGCAATTATGCAAAATTTGTACGTTGTACTTTCGCGTAATTTCCAATTTTTGAATTTGAAGAAAAAGTGATGAATTCACTCGCCCTTTTCAAGTTGTTTTTGGATGATTAGATCAATCAAAAACTCGAGATAAAGGCTATTTGCACCGAAATCATAACATTATGGATTAAATACATCGTACTGAATTTGACAGAGCAACTTTACATTTATATTACCTAACATAATGGAATGGTCTGTACTGAAAGATTGAAGTACATGTGATGTTGCTGGTTGGAACTTATTTCGGCATATGGTGGCTTATGTCCTGAATCTGTTTTCTTTGGTTCTTTGTTAATCATTTAACTTTGTTTATATCCTATTCGAAATGGGGAAGTTATATAGCGATTAAATCGGTGCATTTCTCAAAAGGGTAATTTCCCCGACTGTAATGAAAGGTATGTTTTATATCTGTCAAATTATAGGTGAGGGAAAATGTTAACGAAAATGATCAGGGAGCATGATGCTGCTCAGCAACTAAGAAGAGAAATGCAAGGTAAACACCATTCATTCATCATATTTTTCCATTCTTGGAAGATGAGTACACGCTATCTGCGTTTTTTCCAATCCTATTTTGATTTGTTTTGTTCAGCTAGTTCGCACTTAGTGATTTCTTAATCCGTTCATTAGAAGATACAATTAATTCTCTTTAAGTTAGCAAAGTAATTCAAATTATTTTCAATGTAGAAAAAAGAAAAAATGAAGCCATCGTAGCGGCACAAAGTTTGGCAGGTGCTGTCGTCGATCATCTGAATTATTCGTTAGTGCTTTCATCACTACTGTTTGACATAAGAACTGATCGTAAATGCTACGCGTTTTGTCTACTCCTGAATCACTCTTCAATATGTTTGGCATTTCCTCATTATATTATCATTTCTCGTATTCTATTTGTCAAATTGCCGAAGTTCTCAAACGACTTGTTTCATACTTAATTCATTGCAGTGTTTCTCAAGCTTATAACAGTCAGAAACGACTGGATGTAGAAGTGAAGAAGTTGGAGAAAAATGCCACAGAACTGGCACAACAAGCGGAACAATGGATACAGATTACGGATTCACTCAATAAAGCTTTAAAAGTTTGTATTCAAAAAGTCTACTGAATGTTCAGACTTATTGTTACAATATTTTAAGCTTAATGATTTTTCAGAACTGAATTGAGAAAAAGACTGCATCGTAGATGTCATAGTATTTAACTTATCAAAACTTACGACTAAAATCTAGAACTTGAAATAATGTAAAAAATATATAGAAATTTTATACTATTGTGGCCTGGTTACATAAAAATTTCCATATTTTTGGAATGGCTGAATTAGATTTAATACTGGAGAGATTTCAACAGAAAAATTTTTTATTTTTAATGAATTACATAAGTTCGATTGTCATTACCCCTGTTTTATTTCCTGTTATTTAGGAAATTGGGGACGTTGAAAACTGGGCAAAGACAATCGAAACAGATATGAAGATTATATCGAGTACATTGCAAGCAGTTTTCGAAGGTAGCAGGAGAGCTTTCTCACTTATTTTTCTTTTAATATCTTTGAGGAGAAAATCTGATGAGGAAAAGGATTTCTAAGGAAACACAAACTAACTCATGTGGTATTTGATTACGTAACAAATTCTCATTTCGTTCCAAGTGTTTTAAATCTCTTCTACATTCAATTCATCCTGATGCTGAATCTCATGAAAAATGATGGATTTTGATTCTTCGTTAAGATCATGCACTATTTCCTTAACTTTCTCTTCATTACATTTTCTTTTATCCTGGAGCTGCATTATAGTAGTTATATCCCATTTCATAATTTTTGGTAAACTAGTGTATTAAAGTATCTTCCATTTCTAATGTACTATTATCTTTATTCCCATTGCGTCTGAAAGACCAATGTGGTTTCATCATTCACATGAATTTGAAGTTCAAAAGCTTACAGTAATCATTAATTAGCATGATTTGCATGAAATTTCTATTTCATTCCAGAACATACGGTAGCTTCTCTTGAGTCCTTTAACTAGGGTGTACTTTTTATAAATTAACGACTTGTGCTTTCCCAGAGAACATTAGTCAATGACAACAGACTACAGAAGTTAGATATTGAGTAAGCGGATCTACTTCCGTTGCATTATTATAAGTAATAGATTAAAACAAGTGAAGACAGATTTGCTGCAGAAGATATATTTCGTAATGCATGACTTATACCAAAAAACTACCTAGGAGGTTTACCGCAATGAAAGAACCGTGTTAAAGTGTTGCTCAGTTCTTAGAAATATAAAATAAGAGGCTCCAAAAGAAATCGAACCCCT